AGGCAGCAAGCTCCAAGTATTGATGGCTCTGTGTGAAAACCTGTATGCCACGGGCATTTTGTTCGTTCTTGGCTTTTTTACTCGCCTGCTATGTCCTCTAATGTGTCCCGATCTAGTGGGAAGAAAGAGAGAGAATAAGTTAGGTCCGAAATCATTTCTCAGTATTCTGTACATCAAAATAAGATCTCCCTTTAGTCTACGATAGGACACAGTACAGAGGTCCAGTTTTTCAAGCCGCTCTTTGTATGATAAATCCCGGAATTCCGAAATTGCACGGGTAGCTGCCCTATGTACTTTTTCTAGTATGTCCGAGTCACCTTTTATACAGGGGCTTGTAGCCTGAGCGCAGTTCTCTAGCTTAGTTCTCACTAAGGATGTGTATACTGTGGTGAACATGTTAGTATCTAACTTAGTGAATGTCCTTTTTAAAGCCCAGAGGGCTCGAAACCCCTTGAATGCGACTTCCCGGCAATGGACAGTCGTCTTAAGATGATGACTCACTGTCACTCCTAGATCCTTATGAGACCGGACTACAGGTAATGACACATCCCCAGCGTTGTACTTATTAACCTTTGAATCCCCAAAGTGCATTTATATACACTTTTCCGCGTTGATAGGCATTAGCCACTCTTTAGACCAGTTTATCATATTACTTAAGTGTGCCTGAAGAATAAATTTGTCTTTGTTTCCACTTAATACTCACCAAATTTTTACATCGTCAGCGTATAATAACATTGAAGACTGTACTATACATGTAAGATCATTAACGTACATTATAAAAAGTAAAGGACCTAGGACGGAACCTTGGGGTACTCCACCGAGTACTGGTCTCCAGATGGAGGACTTGGAATTTATTCTTACTTTTTGTCTACGACCTACTAGGAAATCTTTAATCCATTTTAAAAGAGGTTCAGAAATACCAAGGTTTTCCAACTTCAACTATTAGTGGGCACCTTGTCAAAAGCTTTACTGAAATATATGTAGACAACATCCACTGAGTTTCCGTAGTCCAGCGCAATAATTCACAACTCCCTTGCTATAAGGAGGTTCGTTGTACAGGATAGACCCTTTCTAAAACCATGTTGTGCCATGTTCAGCATGTTATTGGTTTCCATAAATGCCGTTATGGTCCGTTTGATTATTCTTTCCAGTATTTTAATTACAACACTGGTGAGGCTTACGGGTCTGTAATTTGATGGAACTTGTCGTGGACCTGTTTTATGTATGGGAGTGACGATTATGTCCTTCCATTCCATAGGTAACACACCTTGGTCAAGTGACATATTGAATATCACAGTCAGTGGGGCCGCGATATATTAAGCAATATGTCCCAAGATTTTCGAGTGTAGTTCATCTGGTCCTGTTGGCTTCTCCATATTCAGGGTGTTAAGAGCTTTAAGCACATCGTTTTGGTCAAAGTTTACGATGAACAGCTGTTTTGTTGACTCTGTATTTGGGTCTGGTTTTTTCTCTAGAGGAGGTTTCTGAGTGAAAACTGCCCCAAAATATTCAGCCATAGCCTCTGCTTTTTCCTGATCTTCATCTATCATTTCAGATTCACTTCCCACTTTAATAAGGTTGGGAATCCAATGATGCATCTTGTTCTGTAGTTTATGTACGAGAATATTTTCTTGGCCTGCTTGAGTGCAGATTGTGCCAGCTGCATTTCATATTTTCTTTTAGCTTCCCGAATTTTTGTTATACACTCGTTTCTTATCGATCTGTAGCGTTCCATCGTACCTGCTGTGCCAAGGCGGATGGCAACGTCTCAGCATTTCTTCTTTTGTCTGAGTAAACGTCGAACATCTCGCCCTATCCAGGGATGACCGTGCTTCTTTTTCTTTGGGACAGTCCGAGGTATGTATGGTTGAGTTACTCGATTGTATAACTGCCTGAATAGAGTCCATGCCTCTTGTACTGATGCCTTTGAGTCTATTTCCCAGTTTTCAGCCGATGCTGCGTAGTTAATTGCCTGCATATCTGCCTTCCATATGTTGGGACGGGCCGATGCAACTGTTTGACAAACAATCTTAGCTATGAATTTAAATAAGATGACTGCATGGTTAATTCTCCCAAGTGGTGGAGAAAATCTATTTGACCAACGTCATCGTGTGTGAAAACTAAATCTAAAAGAGAGGAAGAGTTTCTTAAGTCGTATCTTGTAGGATCTCTAGTGTGTTGAAATAATGCTAGTCCAATCCAGGTTTCTAACAGTTTGCAGTCGGACGACGATATGGATGACCCTACTTCTAAGTTAGCCCAGTTTATATGTGGTGCATTAAAGTCGCCTACTACAATACTTTTACCGTTGTTACACCAGGACTTAAGTTTAATTAAGATAAAATCATCTGTCACATATTCTGGACTGAGATATACTAAAACTAATTTAATATCTTGCTGTCTACTTTTCAGCTTGCTACGCTCCAGTTCACATGTCCCTGAAACATGTGATACTGTCTCAGCTAATCTTATGGTTAGGGTAGTATTCGTATACAGGATAACGCCGCCTTCCCTACGGTTTATTCTATCAGCCCTACTGGTTATGAAACCAGTCAACTGGATTTCACTATCTAATACTTCTGACGTTAACCAAGTTTCCGAGACAGCAATAACGTCCGGTATTTCTTTATCCACCGCTTACTTGAGCCCCACCATTTTATTTAGTAGACTGCGAGCATTTGTGTAGCATACATTTAAGTCTATGGTAAGCTTTCCCTTGCCACTCAGAGTGGCTTGTGGATCGTTTAGCTTTGAGCTCTTACAACTTGAAAACCCTTAAGAACAAGGTTTCGTTCCCCGTTTTGGCGACGTTCATTTATTTCCGCTTCTGCAGCTCGTCTCTTAATACAATCAGCTAGGCTGAGATCCTCACGGACATATATTCCGAATCCTATCAGTTTACATGAATTACTGAGAATCAGGTTCCTTTCTTCCACCGTGTTGAATGTAAGCGTCAGGAGGCGGTTTTTTTGAGGACTTTCGGAATGCACCTTTTTTCCTATTCTATAAAGCTTACAAATACTGACTCCTGAAACTGTATCTGGAAGTAGTTTACTTAATGATGTCTTAATATGAATGAGATCGTGTTAAAATCTCACCGTTGGTTCTTAATCTGAAGATTCTGTTATTTCATGAAAAATGACTGATCTCTCAGAGAGATCTGTCTTGTCGCGCAGTGAGGATTTTTCTTCTGATAACATCCCTTCCAATGCCTTGCTGACCAGCTGTGTATTGCCCACAGTCTTTTTCTTCCCATTTCTTTTTTCTTCTTACTGAAGTCCATTTGTCACCACTCAGGACAGCTACACCTGAACTACGTGGAACGGTGACAATCTTATCCGGATCTTCTATTTCGACTAGAGGTGTATGACTGTCGATGTCAATATCAAGCGACACTTCATTCCTCGTTAATGTCAACAGAGATTTCACGTTCCCGTCAACCGCGGTCAAATGTTTAACGGGTCCAGTAGCAACACTTACTACACTGCCACATTCTTCATCGTCAGTGCTCCTGTTATCAGTGCTTCCGCCGTCGTTTTTCTTGCAGGCCAAAGCCAATAGGCCCATAGCCTCCTGTATTAGTACCTTTTTATCCGTACAGCAGAACATACAAAGTCAATGCGAGTTAGGCTTCGAGCATCTTTTGTAAACCGTCGGACTTAGTCGTGTACACATTTTGTGGTACCACTTTTTACAATCGTTACACTGCATCCCCTCCTCAACGAGAAACAAACCATTTGGTTGCCCGCATTTGTGAGTCTTACCAACCATTGTAATTCGATTTAAAAGGCTTTAAAATAAAAAATGATCACATTTTGAAAACAAGTGTTAGTCAAGGAGTAAAAAAAGGAACTCAGGACAAAATTTAGCAAAAAATTTCAAACTTTAACCAAAGTACTTTTAGTTAAAGTAGACCAAGAATGCCTTTTAGTGCAATAAGAACCCAAAGCAAGTATAATTACATCAAGTACAGAAATCAGCGCCCGTATAACGTGTCAAAATTTAATTTATTTGTCCTGGTTTCTTGAATCATCCCATTGATATTATCGGTAAAACTGATCAGTCTCTTTTGGAATATACGTATCGCGTGCAAACTACATTGATACCGCTATCCATTAAGAAGTAATTTTTGAGCAGAACTGGAATCTCATTCTTTCACCACAAACCCTACACATTCCTTTATCGAAGGATAATGTTCTACAGTGTAAACACATGGCTAAATGAACAGTTATTAAGCAGTATAGTAATTCAAGCTAAGTTAAACATCTCATGATTCGCGTTGGTCATGTAATAATATATACCCCACTAAAACAAACACTGAATTTTTTAAGTTTGTTCATATCTCCCATTTTTCATATCATTTAATAACTGAGGCGTATTTTCAAACTCTTAGTCGCAAACGAAGGACTTGAGCGGAAACATCATTTGCACAAACATTGAGATGAGTTATAGGTAAACTTTATTTTGATAGCTACATAATAACAACTCTCAAAGACAAATAGTAGTGAAGAGAACGAATCAACGCTATGTAATTATCGATATTTGAGGACCCACAGTACTGGTAACTAGGTGTTGTAATCCAAAACAATAAAGTTATAGCCCAACAAATATCGAAGCATGTCAACGAAGAAAGATAGGAGGATCCAAACAAATCGCAAATCCAAACACAACAAAAGTTTCTTCTTACAACGAGAAAGTACATAAAACAAAAAATAGCATTGCTTAAGGAAATAACGTACAATCAGATACTTTAAGAAACTTTATCTGAAAATGTTAGATGACTGCATCAGAGACACTATTATATAACGCACTCTAACATCCATTCTTGGAGAACCCATCTTTTTATTTTACCGTGTCAATGTGAGAGAAATATATTTGAAATATCTCAATCCATTGTTCTCTTAATTTATAAAATTTCCTGAAAACACTGCAACAAATGTGTCATGAAAATAAATGTGGAATCATAACTTTTTTTCGCACAAAACGTACAAACCATTATTGACCTCTGTTTTATTATATAAAGTATTCAAGTATATAAAATTATTCAACGATAGAAAAACGACACACTATTCATTATGTTATTGTTTGATTAACGATCTGTAAAGATAGCCTTTCTAGATAAATATATGTAATACACTTTACACTGGGAGAGAGAAATGCTACAAAAAATATTTAAAAGTTATGCATAAAATTATGAGCAATATTGTAAGACTAGATGATATTCTCATAGGATGACCTTTACATATGAAATTATACCGAAAATCGGGACCATCTACAAAATAGAAATGCAGATAAACAAACAGAGAATTATCTATTTGGTTTTGCTAAATAAATAAATTCATTAAAACAATCAGAAACTGATAATTAAAAACATCATAAATAGAATTAAAACCAGTTATCATGTGTATGTGATCAGTTTTATGAGGTGTACCAAACTATCTTTCATTGTAAACAATAGATTTATTTTGGTAGACGGTTGAACATTTGTAAAGTTCTGAATATATAACTGCTTAGTTATACGAGTTTTTGAGCTTGACGAACAGGATTTCGGGAACTTAGTCATTATTCATCTCAACCTATGTTATCAAATGTTTTACCAGTGTAGAAAAAGTTAATATAATGATAATGGATATATGATCACCAATCTCCGTAAGAACTTTCTTATTTATCATAAGATTAAAAGAAAATGTATTATCTGAAGCCAATAAGTGATACTTTCTTATGTATAGTGGTAGTTTTGTTAATTAACTCCATGAATATTTATTATACATATTAGAAACCACTTGAAATAACATTCATGTATCTAGTTGGATGAATTACTATCATATCTTAATTGTAGCATAGAAAAATGATCATGTCTGAAAGTTTTTTCTAATGGCTAGGCTAACCGTTCAAAAAGATAACAAAAAGTATTTAAGCTATGAAACATCCTACGTTAAGTTAGGGATTTTTAAACAGTCTGAAGCAAAAGCCTTAAGAAATTCCAGTGGTAACTGTGAACGTAAAATTATTTTATTGAGTGAATAGTAATCAGCATACCAAAAATGGAGATAATTTATGATTCCTAAGATATTTGATCTTTTTCACCTGTTTCTTAGTTTGAGGACTTTTTCAAAGAATCAAAACTGAAGATTTTTGTTTATTACAAACGTAGTATCAAACGTTAATCGATTTAACGCACCAAGTTTTACTGGTGATCAATGTTTATCGATAAATATGTGCATTGTCATTGAACCTCAGTTTATAGGTAGAACAAAATTAAGGAATTTATCCACACCAATGAAAGTAAAATATGATCGATCACTGGGCGTAGACAAACAAGCACAGCCTACTGACTATTAATTATGTGGTGTCCTTTCCTCACATTAATTTCTACTCACTGAGTGTGATTGCTTGTAACTGTGTTGAACAAAGTATTATATAGTGATAATCAGGGTCGTGAATTCTGGATATGATATAACGTGACTAGTCTCAATGTTTTATTAGCGTATTATCGTAGTATAACTGAGAGATAAAAAATGTTTCAAACCATTAATTATGTCATAAACCACTTCTGATCTCTAATAAATTAACTGAATCATGTCTATTAGAATAACTCTGTTTCACTCTCACCCCAAGTTGCTCCAGGAATGCATTTTTCTTTAGTAATAATTTGAAATTGATTTACTGGTGAACTCATAGTACCAACACCTCCACGACTATAACCATATACACGTAAATTGTATCTAACATCAGTTTTCAAATCACTAACGAAACCAAAAGTTTTAAGTCCAACATCAATATCTTTAAAAGTTTGTTTAAATTGAGAACCGGTTGGCCAATAACGAATACAGTAGCCTTCCACTGATTCTTCATTTGGTCTAGCTTGAATTCCTACCCATGAAACACGAATAGTATTTGATATACCGGTTGCATTTAAAGTAACCATAGTCGGAAATTCACGTGGAGCTGTTTTAAATGTTGTTTGTTCTGTGAAACTTGATTCAGGACCATCTCCAGCACTATTAAATATCTTTTATTTTGATTTACAAAAACAGAAAAGAAAACGTTTGTATCAAAGTAAGTGGATAGATTAAGCACAATCTTAACGTTAATGGTAAAAATAAGTCGTAGTCAATCATTATAATAACTCTAAATAGTTTATGATATTGTTAGGCTGCTTTTGATGAGTTTATATAAAATTGAACTGAATTTCTGTTGCTAAATAAAATCATTCGAAGAAGTATCAACAGATTAGTAACCTCGAACATCTATTTTATCTTATCTTGAGAATCCTCATAAACACACTGAAATTCGAGCCCTGAACACTTGGGTTTCCTCTTTAGTTATTGAATAACTGCAGTGAGAACTAGTAATTTAGATGTTCGATGCTCCTTATTTGACTTTATTTTCATTTGTAATGAAAATTATATACGAATAAATAGTTTAATTTATGGTTGAGCTAGCGTTAATTAACCATTCGATCTCCGAATATAACATACAACTATATTTTTTAGTTATTCTAAGCTCTTTCAAGTTATATAGCATTTATGCATTAGTGATACAAGACCTATAACTTAAAAATCAACTAGAAATTTGATTTAATACAAAAATAACATATATACCCAATGTATTCTTTCATGATTCCAGTACACATGGAAGTAAGGAAACTGATGTACACTAATTTAACCAGATAATATGTAAAGTAGCGATAATACACCATGGTAATGTGAATAATATAATTCATCTTGTGGGGTATTGACAGCAATGAATTTATAAATTAAACCGATTCATTCAATCGGGTTAATCAACAATTTCATATTCTAACCTAAATACATATAAATTACTTTGAGATAAAGAAATAATGACTCTAGACTTAACATAATAAATCTCATTGAAATTATAAACCGATCTGAATTAGATCAGCATTAAAAATCTGAAAGCAATGGACAGTCATTTCGCCATATTATGTTGCTCCTTGGTAGTGCGTATCCACAAACATGAACTCTGGGACCGGATCGAGGATCTATTGTCTGATTTCAGTGAAATTCAGTAATCTCAACAACCCATTACTAGCATAATAAACTTGTTAAATGCTTAGGACATGAGTTTGTACATAAAGATTAAGGTGAAATTCACCAACTATTAGTATAAACCTTCAGTTGAATTTAAAGGCTGTTTTGTAAACTTACGAATTCCACAACATATATGGAATAATCGCTTGATTCATAACTATAAGTTCAATTTTTCTTAAGAACATGAAAAGAAATAAATATCTAGTATTATCAGTGGGTTTTTGTATAGTCTTTATTACCGTGTACATAATCTAATCGATAAGAGTATAGTGAATAATAGATTGAAATTCATCATTAAACAGTGATAAATTGCATACTTCTAATTAATTAAAATTAACTTATTTCAATTCAGAACTTGAAAATACCACTTTTTCCATAAGCTAAAACATTATATCTCATTTAAAGAACGATACAAAAGACTAAATAGTACAATTTAATCAAATTAACCAAAAAATATTAAAACAGATTACTTGAACAGCAATACAGTAATAAGTATCAGCATCTAATCCAATAATTAAACCTTCTGTTACATCACCATGAACTGTTTGACGTTGACCAAGTTGATGTCTAGCACGATCTGATTCAAGTGAACGACAATCAGATATACGTGGCCAGTACAAAATTCGATAGCCCCAAGTAGGACCTTCACCTTCTGATGGAAGAGGTGGATACCACCAAACACGAATAGAGGAACAATTGAATGCTCCAGCAGTTACACCACTGGGTGCATTTGTTGGTACACGTGTAGCAGACATAACTGTTACTGGTTCACTTAAAGGGCCAACACCCTAACATGTATAGAAACATTCATAAATATTCGATGAGTAGTAAAGTGAAAAGTATTTTTCATGAAATCAAAAATGAACTAAACAAAATTAGAACTTAATTACTTGTGATGAAAAATATTAACCAACCTAAAAATAAGTTATTCTCTGGAAAGTGAAATAAAACTAAGTGAACTGAAGTTATTTACTAATGGATATATCCTCATAACTGTCCATTTTAATTTAAACGTAATAGTATAATTACAGTTTTCTTTTAATTTGACTACAATTATTAAATCAAACCATTGATGAATAATTGGAATTGACTAAATTGTGAAAGTGTTCCTAACTGTTAATCTACTAAGTGACAGTATAAATCAATTGCTTCAATCTTAGCAAATGAGTTCATTTCAAATATACTTTCACGAAAAAACATTTGATGGAATAAACAATTGTACTACATCAATACATTTATGATAGTATTGTGGTGCGTGCTACTTATATTGATGTAAGTAGTCAGGAACGTAATGTCTGGCAGCAGAAGATGGGGGAAGAGCGAGAACACAATGCAATTTGTAAGAAAACGCATGAACAATGAAATGTGAGATAATGGATTGATGTTTGCAACAGGAACAGTCCAGGTTGATATGATGGATTAATATTTTGCAAATTAATGATTTACTATATGGTTTTTCTATTTTACCTCTGTAATTTCGTGCTTTATACATTCGATTGTCCCCACCCGTGTTCTGTTCACTACAGTATGTGCAAAGAACAGACTTTATCAATCATAATCAACTCGACAACTGTTTCACTATTACGTGGAAACCTATTATTACCCTTATACATAAAGATGAAATTTTCAAAGTTATATGATAAGCACATTCAATTCTAACAGGAATCCTTAAGGAAGGAATATAGAAAAACTTTATTTGATTACTGACGGATGGCTGTAGATTATGTAACCATCTGAATATACCATGGTAATATATATGACACAGGTGTATGAAAATATCACCACCTCAATTAACGGGTACTATATCTGATAATCATTACTGATAGACATTTGAGGTTAATAAACAAACTATTTACTTAATAACTATGAACTATTAATAGTTATTAAACTATCAGTAAATGGTCACAATGAATGTCTTCTTAGAAATTCATAAACAATTCTTTGTAAATGTTTTTATTTGTACACCAAACAGTGTTTATATTCTAGTTTTTAAAAAACCACTCCATATTATATAAAGTAATAAAATGCCGTTTTAAAAATAAAATCATTTATACAAATAATTTAAATCAAATTTTACCTCACTATTAACTGCTTGTACCATTACATCATATGGTTTGTAAAATAGATTATCGCCAAGTGTCAATGTGTACTGCATAAATTTTCCATCATCTGACATTTTAGCTGTCCATAAATCATGAATAGAATATTCTGCATTTTCTTTAGCTTTAATATGAGCTCTATAATGAAAATTTGGTCCATTTTCATTGACACGTTTTAATGGTATCCATTTAAATACTAATGTTCCATGTTTACCTCCACCACCGGTTACATTTTGTGGTACTAAAGTAGGTTTAGTTGGTAAAGTAGTAAAAGATAAACTTGGTGGACTAGGTTCACCTAAACCTAAAGCATTCCCTGCACGTACACGTATTCTATAAGCCATATTAGCAGCTAAATTACTAATGACAGTCATTCGACGATCTGTTTATAAAAGATAGCAAGTAAACAAGTAACTAATTATTGTAATATCAAACTGAAAACAAACTTAAAATAAGTTACAACTTTGTCTTTTTTCTTTCAAATAAAAGAAATGCCATCTAGTTTATTAGAACAAGGTTCTAAAGGTTTGAACAACCAGGAACATGAAAATCAGTTAAATAACCAGAGTGTTGATTTGCGAGAATTTTCGGGTCATATTAATCAGATTGCTACAGAGACATGTGAAATCAAATGAAAAATCGTGTTTTTTTAAAAAAAAAGTTCAAGTTAAAAGCCTATGGCGGTGTTAGTTGACTTGAATAAATGAAGACTATGAAATAAAAGTTCCCTAATTACCTTTTTATATATTATAATGAGGCTAACCTCGCTGTAAAACTATGGTATAAAAGTCCTGATACGGAATGTTCTTGAAGGATGTATTTCATGTGTACCATTTAGCAGACAAAGCATAAACGACAACTTGGCAGATAGAAGTTGAATAAGCTGTTACTAAACTACTCGATCTAATTAAGTATGAATTATCTAACACATGAGAATAGATGAAGTATAAAATACAAGTAGATAGACATATATACCCAACGCACACAAATGTTTTATAGAAAACATACAATGTAATTTTTACAAGATTGAAAATGACAAATGGGAATATACCTGGATAGTTTAGAAAATAATTCATCAGACTATGATGACATTTAATAGTTATAGTTGATACAGACAAACAGGTCTAGATGAATTACATGAGACACTATAAACAGCCCAAATACACTAGTATTGAAAACTGGTATAAGCAATCACCAAATCTTTTGTTTTAAATTGCGGACTGATTTTAAATAAGCATTGAAAGCCAGGAAGCAATGGATACCACTGTCGTCATAAGATGGAACAATACAGCAGCACTCATCCCGTATGGTAATTTTAATCATGTCGACGCCAGTAATTAATTTTGAAAGATAACTTGCAAAGTTCTAGTGTGAAACCGTGACCAGTTGATTTCAACCATGTCGGTATTGATGCACTTATTCTTCACTGACACTAGAAGATGGCTGAGCAATATCGCCGACTAATTCAAGTTAGAAATGCAAACCATTGATCTGAAGGTCAAGCCTTCAGCGTTAAATCGAAGGTCCCTGATGATGTTACGGATTTCCACTGCTGAGTTCCACACTAGAATGAGACAGCTATATAGTATTCTCTCATTTTTTAAGTTATCTAACCAAGGTCAGTTTGTGATGTAAACTATAAAATTCAACAATTTCCACAAAGCAGAGATGAATGGTGACTAGCAATGAAATCCAGGTAGTGCTTGTCACTTAAGACAATATTGAGACAATCTGCACACGATACACATATGTCAATAAGACTGATCAATTGCAGTCGTCAACAACACTAGGAAGATTCAAACAACTAATATAAAATGAATTAAAATTTCTGCGAAGCTCTATGATAATCACTAACGATATAATAAATTCCTTGTTTTATTTCATTGCATACATTTCCTGACTTTACTTTATCAAAACATTTAATTAATTTAAAGTTTCTCAATTAAATTTAAACACGCTAGAAGATTAACAAATGGAAATTATTCATCAGAAATTATTAGATTATTCAAAAAATGAAAGTACCGTGAGAAGAAACAACCTTTTTTTCTTGATGAATTTCACTGTTCAATAGAATTGTTTTAATCTTCGGAAGATGTAACAATCAAAATTATTATCTTGTGTATTTTAAAACTCTATCGAAAATTGCATTTTCAATGTATTTGTTTTAATGAATAATTTACCGCACTCTACTGAATAATCCATTTACTAATCTTCTAGTATGCTAGTAATGTTTTCGAAAAAAACTGTACGAAATAACTAGGATTTACTTAGTTATGAATACATAACTGGAAAGGAACATAATGAATTATAACTTGTATATTTGTATTTTCTAGTATTTGTTCATGTATCGATAAAATTTAATCAATACTAAGGGACTAGAAAAAAATAACATTGGCCATTGATCAATCAGTCGTACAGCAGGTGGGTAGTAGCCTGAATATTTCATCTGTAAAGTCCCCAAATTATGATGATGGTTCAACTGGGAGTGCAAGCTTACTCAAGACCACAAGTATCACTTTCTGATGAATCACAACTGTCAAAAAAACTATGTCTAGAGTTTCCTAATAGCTACCCACAATCATTCAAAAAACATAAATATGTATGCTTGAATTTACCTGATGGCTTAAGCAGTTTTGTACTAGATATACTAACATTAGAAGCCATAATCGTCCATTGATTAGGTGGATCATACATCGCATTAGCTTCAATTTGAAAATATAATATTTGAAATAAATGTGATGTACCAACAGCCCAACTAACGTTTACTCGATCCACTCCAACATGAGGGTCAACTACAACACCTGAAATAATTCATATAGAGAAAACATGAACAGGTTTTCTTACAATAAATATACAGGTATATAGTATAACGATAAGAAAATCATGTTAAACATTTTTTAATAGAAACTACTAGATCGGTTTCAAGAAGAATTAATTGTCTTTAATCAGTAAACTATATAACATCGTATTCTTTAATCTATCTAATGAATTTTTTTATTTACGTACTATGATATGAAGACGTACTTTGTCATAACTTCGTGATGCGATATTGTAATACACCTTGAACTGTTGAATTATACATGAAATTCAATAAGAATTACTAATAACTAGCTTCGTTAGGGAATTCTCGGAGTTCTAGCGAGAAGCCGTGACCAGTGGAGCTAATCCGTGTCGGGTAGAGACAGGTATCTACCTCAGTACAATCAAAGATGGTCGCGCGATTTCGTGGATTGGTTGATGTTAGACACCAACACCATTGGATGCCAATCCAGTGGTCCAGTAGGTTAAGCGAGACTGAAGGCCCTGGTTTCGAATCCCGTGGGCGGGATCGTGAATGCGCACTGCTGAAGAGTCCAACAATAGGACGAAACGGCCATCCAGTGCCTCCAGGTTCCCAACGGTGGTCTAACATTAACCGGTTCATGATCTCAATCAAAAAGAATCACAATGTTAAACTAGCGAACTCAGGAACAATAAAAACAAGGATAATTAATAAAAATCATTAGTCATACCACTTAGCATTATAATTCAAAACTCAATATTACTCAGTATAAGTTTAAAATAAGTGAAATCTGTCTTTCGATTTTGTGTTTTTCCTTATTATCCTTCTTTTTTTTCCTGTATTTTTAGTTTTCTCGTTTGGACTCATATTTGTTAAATACATGTTAACTGGTAAATTGTTTAAAAGTTATTGTTGTCATTTATCTCATAATCCTGATAGACATTTTTTCTCACTTCATCATGTCTGTTGATTTTAGGAACTGAGTTTTCTAAACTATAACTATAATAAATAATGAATCATGGTTATTAAAAAAATTTCCCTGTCTACTTTAAATGTAATTTTGGATTATTTATTGATGATATCTGGACTTGTTTTGTGTATCATGAGAATGAAATGGTTCGAAACTCAATCAAACGCAAGGGTTATAAGATACTGATCATTGTGAATTTGTTAACTAAGATTATGACAAGACTGTTTCCCAATTATTTTTAATTTTCATTTGTTTATCCAGTTGTTATGATGATCATATTAAAAAATTATCTTTGTTTGAAAGAAGCAAATATTTGATTCAATAATTTACTTATTTGTTAGCTAAAATAGTTAGGTCTACTGATGTCGTAAATTGTATTCATACATTCGATGAATAATTAATTACTGTCAAGTGTTATCCATTTCAATGTATTCAAATTTAACTATTGACTAGATAATTAAACTATCTATATTATTTAGATATTAAGATAAAGTTCATTTATCATCTTTATTTTCTTCTTTCTGTCGAACTATATCAGTCTTTATTTATAACAATAATGCTAAAAAGGCTATTAAATGTTTTCTGAATAATGAAATTGTATGTACAGTTTACCCGATAGATAATGATAATAATACTGTGCAATAATTAATAATTTTTGTGATAAGACTATAATTTATGGGACGAACCAATCACGTATAAGATAACAGGTCTCAGATTTTGGCGCGAAATTTATTTGTTCATTTGGATAAATAGAGTTTTGGTATTACAGCTGATGTCAGTTTGTGATGAAAACGAGAAATCTAATTGATAACCGTAATCATCAACTGTAGCTTCTAATTCCTCAAACAGGTTTATAACCCTCATTTGGTCCTGATTATTAAATGGACACTTTCAAGGTCAGTCTAGCGTCACTCATAGGTAATTCATAAATTATAGTCTCACCATTTTTTGTTTATATTTTTTGAATGTGATTAGGATCAACTAGATAAACATGAAAGTAAGATTTTCGAAAAAGAAAAAAACACATAATAGAGAAATGATGGATAGTGGCTAGCAGCGGAATCCAAGACGCACGTTTCGTCCTATTTGAGACTCGTCAGCTGGATGCATCTCAAAGTTGATGTTCACTCTGGGACTCGAACCCAGTACCATCCACTCCAAACGCCATCGCGTTATCCACTCAGCTACTGAGTCCTGATAGCCACTTGCTTGTGCCAGTATCCATCATTGCTTACAAAAAGCTTGTGAATTAAGGCAATATCGAGGCATACGCACAATATGCACATATGCCAATAACAGACTGATCAATTATAGTATTGAACCTCAATGGGAAGATACAAACCAAACAATGCCAAGTGCACATAATAGAGAATTTTCTGGAAGAAAAGTTGTTCAAACTAATTAACTGATAAATCAATTAGTAATAATTATATCAATTTTAACTGTATTAATAAACTTGAATACATTTTTTATAACTGAAACGATATTCAGTATAATTTAGTTAATATTATGTAATGTGGAAAGTATTGAATTGAAAATAAATTTATTTGGATCATATATGAACTATGGAAGAAAACTAACATGATATTAAGTAGGACAAAAAAATGGATACTTCTGTTATGGATCTAAAAAAAACATTACTGACATACTCTCATAGATCTCATGTAATAATGAGTAAATTAATGTAGAATTAAACTGGAAACTACTAGGGTTATTTTTATAGTACGTAAACTATTGAATCAAACAAAAAATCATGATGATGAATGCTCTTTAACACATTAGTAACATTAACTCTAGGTTTCAGTGAATCAACTTTAAGTATATACGTATTATAGAGATCTCAATATACACAAAGGGAAAAGAAAGATCCTCCGATACAAAACAGTATTCACCGATCCAGTCACAATTGACGGAGAAAATTTAGAAGATGTAAAAACCTTTACATATTAGGGCAGCATCATTGATGAACATGGTGGGTCTGATGCAGATGTGAAAGCGCGGATCGGTAAAGCAAGAGCAGCATATTTACAAGTGAAGAACATCTGGAACACAAAACTGTCAACCAACACCAAGGTCACAATTTTCAATACAAATGACAGATAGTCCTACTGTATGGAGGGGAAACCTGGAGAACTACGAAAGCCATCATCCAGAAAATACAGGTGTTTATTAACAGTTGTCTACGCAAAATACTTCAGATCCGTTGGCCGGACACTATTATCAACAGCCTACTGTGGGAGAGAATAAACCAGATCCCAGCGGAGGACGAAATTAAGAAGAAGCACTAGAAGTGGATAGGACACACATTGAGGAAAGCACCCAACTGCGTCACAAGACAAGCCCTCACATGGAATCCTCAAGGCCAAAGAAAAAGAGGAAGACCAGAGAACACATTACGCCGGGAAACGGAGATAGAAATGAGAAAAATGAACAAGAATTGGATGGAATTAGAAAAGAAGGCCCAGGACAGAGTGAGTTAGAGAATGCTGGTCGGCGGTCTATACTCTATTAGGAGTTACAGGCGTAAGTAAGTAAGTATTATAGAAGGATTTACGATAAATTTAAGCAAATGTATCGCAATTGCAGACATGTAATAGTTTTTTTAATGAAAATTCAGCAAATTACATTATTTCTAAATAATCAAAGAAAATTCAGTGAACTTTTAAAAAACTATATAATAATAAAACTATGTTATACACAAATTCCATACCGCCACATGGTCCAGGAGGTCCTGCTATTCGAACAACACCACTAGATGATTGTGAATTCAATGGAGTTTCTGCTGAACATGTATAATTTCCAGAATTTTCAAATTGAACATTAACTATTTTTAATGTTCCAAAATAATTTCCATACGGTCTATAAAGTTGAGCAAGTTCATATCGTCTAGCATCTAAATCTAATCGGTCAAATTTAAGATTTACACCCTAGTAAATAAACATTTTTGGAAAAAAAAGCAGAGATGAAATAAGTGGAATTTAATATGAACAAAGTTAGTTTTTAGCATTTTAAAGTCATCAACTGTTCCTTAACGATCTAATAAATAAAAAACAACTATGAGAACGCACATAAAAAAGTATTCCGATCTTACGAGATCTATAAGTTTGCTAAGGTAAAGTTCAAATAAATATTAGCTAATTTATCTGACTTAAAACATGTATGGATCTTTAGTGAAAGTTAAAAATATTAGTTAAATGACTGAGCTGAAGTATATGGAGCTAGTTTTGTACCTTTAAACCGATATATAATCGGACAACTTGGTAGACCAAGAGGATATATGTACCATGTGTTTCATAGTTAATTTTCATTAAATAACACTTACTTTTTTGCGAGAGCGTCAGTTCAGTTGTTATAACATCCAACTTTTGACTAAATTAGTTTAAATTCTGCTCCAGCTACTTTTGTTTTGTCATCAGTACAGTATTACTAGGTCTTATGTTAAGCATGAACTCAAATAAGCGTACATGAAATCGTGTTTGTTTACTGAATAACATCATTTTTCACATACAATATATTTATTTTAGTAAAAATCAAAGTAATGTAACCAATAAACACCTTAGGATGATTGAAATGAAACGTTTTCATTTTAAGTTTAGGCTCAGAATGTACAAGTACATTAACACGTACCTAAATATTTTGTTGCATACTTGACATAATTTAAAATACTTTTTACACCATTGATTCCATATATAGTAAATACAAATTTGCGTAAAAAGTAAGCTGAATACAAAAATAAAGCTGGAACATTAATAACTTAGGTAAATAGCAGTATACTGATGTATTTATTTATATCCCTGACTCTTAATCAGTTACATGATAGGAGATTTAAGCTACCTTGATATTAACGAATTACACTAACCAAAGAGCATAATTTTGTTTATGAATACAATAAATATAAATTTGTCCTACACTCTTAATCTATGTAGTTACTTAAACAAAATTATTTAATTGAACAGTTCGTTAATTTTTGTTAGATTAGTGACGGTAAAGAAATTGAGGTTCTACTGAAATTTTATGAAATTCATAGATCCTTTATGTTTCTATAATAATTTCTAAACTTAGTCGGTTTACCTGTATTTCAGTGAAGCATAGAAAAATTTGAGGCAATGATATGGTTTAACATTTTTCGCTTTATTCAATTTATACCATTGTTTGATCAACACGTCATATCAGGAATCAAAAATATCTATACAGTTATCAGTTTAAACTGTCAATATTCATAGTTAGTCAGCCGTCAATTCACATTACAATTAATACATTTCATTGTTTTACATCAAGTAATCATTACGCCTGTTATAATAGATATTTTTGAAAAAAAAATGTATGAAATAATTTTGTATAAACTACAACCAACGTACTACCTGTTCTACACTTTATACAAAGTAAAAATAGAACCGTTTTAATGCCTGACAACCTTAAAAAGATGTTTATCTTAGAGTTAAATATACAATAAACGGATTGTAACTTACAATGAAAACGTGAACATTTTTTTCATCCTATTCATGTCTTATCAGCCAGCTGTTTCTAGATCCCAATGTTGATGTTTACACTGAGATTCAAACCTAATAGGTTTCGCTTCAAGTTAGGAAGTGTTATACATTGAGCTACGGGATCCAAAGTGCCAATAACTTGCACAACTCGTATGATATTTAATTACTGTTAGGAAAGTGGTGGATTTGAGTTCCGATGTAAACATCAACATCGAGGTGTAAGTAATAACCAAATAACGAGTCGCGAATAGGACGAAATGAGCGTCAAGGATCCCACAATACATCTATTTCGTAAAACCTGTGACAAAATGATTATACTGAAGAAATTATCACAGAATCCACATATTCCAACAAAAACCAATCAAACTTTGGTCTAGAATATCAACAACGGGATAATTCAAACCCTTTTATAATAATTACGTTTACGTGTAAAAATTATTCATCAAACTTTTTCATCAACATAAAATGTGACGTAATCTATGAATTTCTATGAGCACACTTTGAGTAAATTGAGTGTGAATTATAACCAGATTACGTTTATCAAATATTTAAATAAAAATCTATTCAAAAATTTACGTTCTTTACTATACATACCTCAAAATACCAAGCATAATTCACATCTAAATATGATGAACTTTGAACACGACAAGGGAGAAGTACAGTGGAATTTCGATAGACAACACGTGAAATCGGTGTTAAGCTCATTTTTAATTGTGGAATAATTGTTAATAAGGCACTTGATTCTGCTTGACCTAAAGTATTTTTTGCGATACAAGTGTATTGTCCAGCATCTGACTCCACAAGATCAACAATTAATAGATTTTTACTAGGAAGTTTGCAGTATTTACTTGCACACTATGAGAAAACCAAAAAAATGAATGAATATTTGAATTAATGTTATGTATAATGTGGTAATGCGCAATAGATTGTGTATGTTCAAATATTACGAGTTGACAAGAGTTAGAAAGATGGTCCACTGCATCTCAGTTAAGAAGTTTAGATCCTTGATTTTGATCCCTGGCAAAGTTAATGATTCCCACTATGAAGAAGTAGCTATCCCACCCCCTACCATTTTTTAATGATTGTCCAACTAAGTTCAATTTGGGACACAAATTATCTTCAAAAGAATATACTCGTTAACTTCAACCAAGTGATTATTTTCTTAAAACAATATCATTCTAAAGAAATGAACAACAATTCATTTTGAATTAAAAGCCTTTTAGTACGTAGACAGCATTGAAACGTTTATGCGGTTGAATATAAAAGCTTTGAACATCTTGTCACTGACAATAATTTCTAAAAATAAAAGACTTAAAGTTTACAGCTGGCATTTCCTAACTTCATTCCACTAGTAAAGCAAATTAATTATCTTTTATTCAAAATCCTTTTGATAATTTGTTTTGTTGTCAGTTTCTAACACAAACTTCTGAATTACAACAAAAGAGATAGAAATTAAGGTATTCAGTACACAAATTTAAGCATTCTTTTCATTCTATGCTAAAGTTTTAAAGTTATTTATTATTTAGGATTTTCATAGTAAACTATGGTTTTTATTTTAACGACACCATAATTTATGAACGAACCAATCAGATATAAGACAACAAATCATGGATTTTGGAGCGAAATTCATTCATACATTTGGCTAAATAGCGTTTTGGCACTATAACTGATGTCAGTTCGTAATGAAAATCCTAAAGCTAATTCCTAACCCTAACCATCAACTGTACATCAATATTTTAACTCTTAACACTGGTTTATAACTAACCCTCATTTAGTCCTTGTTAGTAAGTAGACATTCTCGAGGTCATTTTAGCGTCGCTCAAAGGTCATTCATAAATTATAGTCTCACCTTTAACAGATATTTTTCTAGTGAATAACAGTAAGTGGGTCAAACAACAGAACTAAGATTGAAGATCCCAAGTAGTACGACTTCTGTATTGTTTACAATAGTTATTAAGATTGTCTTATTTTAGGTAGCATATAAGTAGTAAAAGGTATATGTATTCATATACAATCATTTAAATCATAGATAAAAAGACTAAAAACTAAACATTTTACCAAATACTTTCCACAAAGAAAAATTAGTGAAAAATTGTTAATCATTAGCATACTTTTAGTATAACCAAAATGTCACAAGTATCTTTTACATATTATGCAATATCTTATAACTACTGACATATTTGATTGATTGAAGGAATAGTAAATTCAAAGAAGATGAAAGTGTAGATTTAATGTTTTCTACCAATTTATTATCATCAATGAATCTTAAATACAATGAAATGTGTTGTGAAAATAATAGAATTCAACATCAAAATATTAACATAATGAGAAGAAATTTGGTCAGCATAAAAGTTCAATCCGAGTTTTAAAAACTTATCCATTGAGGGAATTTAAAAGTATTTGAACTAATTTTCTATTCTGAGTCATCAGTGTTTGGAATTATATATTTGAAGCATACGCACAATATGCACATATGCCAATAACAGACTGATCAATAGCAGTTTTAAATCTCAATGAGAAGATACAAGCTAAACAATACCAACTGAATTTCTGTATGTGTTTCAGGTTTTAAATTTGTTATAAGTAATGAAAATAGAATTTTTGGAAATATATAGACTGGTGAAAACATACATTTGCAGTTCCCGTTTCCGGATCTAACCAACTATCACTAGTAGTTAGGACAGTTCCATCATGAAGCCATTCTACAGTCATTGCAGGAGCTCCTTCAGGTTGACATTCCATAACTGCAGTGCTTCCAACCATACCTTCATTAGGCATAACAGGATGTTTACGAAATGTCGGTGCTAATTCTAATACACGCACTTCAGCAGATGAAGCTTCACTACCCAAACTATTCCATGCTAAACAAGTAAACATACCAGAATCTGAAAGTTTAACCTGAAATAGTGGAATAAAAGAGAATGTGATAAAGAACTTAGTTTTCAATGTTGCGTTTGTGTTGTATGAATACATTTTTGAAAAAAGTTGCGATAAGATTACTTTAAACAGGTAACAACTATTTTTTGTATTTTTTTTAGATTTCCCAAACCATTACAGCTATCAGTACGATTACTTTGTTTGGTCTTCTCTAATCATTATTCAATGATTTGTTGCCAACATGGTTGAAATGTTTGTCTACAAAACAGGTGGTTTAAGGTCTCTATTCATAAATTCATCTAAACAAAACTTTTTGTATATCCTGTGCAAAGAAAGATATTATTCTCATATTCACTAAGACACGAAAATAAATTATTAACGACTCAAAAGCTAAAAAACTTTGTTGCTTTCTGTTTACAATCTTTGATTATAATTCTCTCCACAGATAATAAAACGCCAACGGAAATGTTGATATACATTCGTACTGTATAATGTTCCATTATTTGGTGTACATTTTGGTCTTTAACTAGTATAAGTGCTTTACCAGCAATCAGATGTTTCAAGGTCAGTTTCGTCACACGGAAATTAAGCGTATCACACTTCCTTTTATATATTAATGATAAGAAGAGACAGAATTAGACCAGATCCTTAGTAATAATTTAGCATTTATGCTGTCGTTTAGTTACATTACTTATGAGCAACAATTATTTAGGTTCATATTTTTTCGTTGCGCTAATTTAATAGGTTTTAGCAAGTTTATTATTGTATTATACGTTAATTTGAATAATATGTATTCGGAAGATTTGAAGATAATAATTGCAATGGGCCAGAATAACAATGAACTTTCTCAAGTTCTGATGGAAAATCATGGTTCGTAAAGTTTAGCCATTTACAGCATTGGAGATTCTTCATCGATGACACTGGGTGACTGTCACCCGATATCAACAAAAGGGGGAGGTTGGGAATCTGGACAATATATTCCAAAACTTCATCTAAATACATTACCATCACCTTGAAACTGGAAGGCACTAAGATGTTACAAATCAGGGGGGAACAGTTGACTACTGCTTCTTGAATTTCTATGGTACCCTATCGGATATGAGCTCATAACAATAAACATATAATGTAACCAATATTTATTTTGCTAAGGATCATATCGTTATGTAGACGACACCTTCGTCATCGTCAAAAATAATGAACTTGAAAACACTTACAAACTGATCAACAACGTCTTCGATGACATCAAGTTCACCATGGAACAGGAGTCAAACAACAAACTAGCATTCTTGGATATATTGATCACTAGAACCGACACAGGAAAACTGGAAACTCAAGTATATAGGAAACCGACCCATACAGATCAAATTCTCAACTACAATAGCAACAACCCAAGAGCTCACAAAATCAACTGCGTACACAATTTGTTCAAGAAGGCGAGAACACACTGCAGCACACTGGCAGCGCGAAGAAATGAAGAGAAATGCCTGAAGGATGTATTTCAGAAGAACGGCTACCCAATCAAATCCATCAAAAAGTACCAACCGCACGCAGCATTAGAACTCAAGTCAAGCACAAAAATCAACAAAAGGATCACCCTACCATATATACAAGGAATATCAGAAACCGCAAAAAGACTGTTGAAAACCTTCGGAATAGGTGTAGCACACAAATTGACAAAATCACTACAATCAATCCTATGCAAACCAAAAGATGAAATAACAAAGGAAAACAAATCAAACATCATCTACACAATAAATTGTGCAAACTGCGAGAAACACTACATCGGACAAAGCGGACGCCCCCTTCACCTGCGCCTACATGAACATCAATTAGCAGTCAAACGGCATGATATCTCCTCACTTATATCAATACACCTGGACAACTGTGGACACTCATTCGATTGGAAAAATGTGGAAATCTTAGACAGAGGAAACTCCAAAAACACCAGAAAATTTTTAGAAACCTGTCACTCAAGTCAATCAGCAATCAACAAGCATATTGAAATCAATCCAATTTATCAACCAATCAGAAAAATCACTGCACAAACATAAGAACAAAAATCAAAACAATGGGAGACAAAACCAAAACATAAGTAAACAATGACAAATTTAAGGTCCAAATTTAAGAACCAATCACAGAACAAGCTTTGAAACACATATGGAGAAATTCAAACACTTCACTTCTATTTGAAGTTTGTGCTGATGATGTCGTTCAGAAGAACGATGAAAGCTCCACGACTAAACCATCGAGCTAAGAGAACAAACTCCACCAAAATCATCCACCTGAGCTACAAATCTTCTCCACCATCTCATGATCCAAAAATTTAGTGATTGATATGTATAATTGAAGGCTAATAATACTTTTCATTAGAATTCTTATCTTGTATTTTAATGCCAAAATGATGTTTAATGGTATTACGCACATTATAAAAATTATTCTCATTTTCATTCAATGTACTGATTGATGGAAAACGAATCACAGATCATCCAAATAATACTTTGAAAACAGAATATGAATTTATCAAAACTAATGAAATAAATTTGGAAGCAATCTTCATTACAATCTGATATCAATCAAATGATCATTAAAATCTAGGGACAAGTGGACAATTATTTCGCTCATATTTACAACTCTTCATCGAGTAATAGCAACAACGGCGAGACTCTAATTTATGGACGACCTTTGAACGAATCTTAAGTGGCCTAGAGAAATATTAGCCAATCAGCAATCAGTCAGTGTAGAGTAAAAATATATTATACAAAACCAAGGAAATAAATTGGATACACTTCTTATACGTGGTTCAAAAACTTGTCAAGGTTAGAAAGGAGTTCCTAGGTTGTAAAATCGCAAAGCATGCAGTAGAGGAAATCTCCATACGGCTACAGAATAGTCGGCCTCTGGAGCCATGATAAAGTCTCAAAAACTCTTTCAGCCTCGACTACATAGTTCTAATATTGTTTATGTGTACTTCGGCTGTTGAGTACACAAAATGCTACTTGTGGATAACGACACGATGCACATAACCAATCCTATGTAGGAGTTTGTACGCTCTCCAAACATTCGAATATATTGTAGTACCTGGCTGCAACCAGTGTCACTGGTGCTTTTATTATCCAGTTCGCGATAATTGTCATAATATGCCTTAATTATGAATTATATATGCGGTTTTCATCACGAACTGACATCAGCTATAATGCCAGAAATTTATTTAGTCGAATGGATGAAGGGCTTTCGCATTAAAACCCGAGATTATACCAGATTGATTCGTTCACAAATCATAGTCTCGCCATTTTGTTTGTTATAAACGCTCAATTATCACGTTTTGTACAAAATTCGATGTGAACCCATCGTACGTTAGAATTAAGCATTGAAGTTGGCGCCATAACTTTGAAATCTCTAAAACACTTCTGACTGGCTCGTTCATAAATTAGAGTCTCGCCGCAACAACTTTAAATGAAATCAAAGTTACAAGTTTCAGATCTTATGTTTAGTGAATGATATTAATCCATGAGGAATAATACTTCAGGATAGTTCTAAAACTTGACATAACTACTTAACTAGAAAGTTTAAGTAAAAAAGTAGTATGAGAATGATATACTTATTAATTTATTTCATTGGTATTCATTATATTTTGAATTTCTTATCCATTAAAATTTGAAACTTTGTTTCATTATTATTGAAAACGATAAGTTAGTTTAATTATCAGATCTTCATTTCATGAATTAATGAACAACCTACATAATAAAAATCTTTTAATTATTTTCATTTTAAAGAAATTTCAATCACACATAAGCTTATCATTTTTATATAGAAAATGAATTGTTTTACTAATGAGTTATTCTATGTGGGTTTTTTTAAACACTTATCCCTTGAAATCTTTTTGCATTGATAATCTAGATTTACGAGTAACTATCCATTCGATCACAAAATCATATCAGATCAAATGATCATTAAATATCTCCTTATGATAACATTTATTATATCATAAAATAACAGAAATCATTTATTTTATTACAGAGAAGTTAAGTATTGAATAGTTATCTTGTCATTACAGACCATTAGTGATGTTGGGATATTCAGGAAAATATCCCAGAAATTATCCTATTAAGTCTAATGCTATTCTTGGACTTGGATATGGTATGATTTTCTTATTGGTCAGTACTTATTTCACGTGTAATTTTCCTACTGGTCAATATTGTACAATGTTATTTTCTATTTTATGGTACGTTGTGGTCTGCTTGACTGATATATAAACAAAGTATGTTTGAAATATAATGATTCATATATCCGAAGCTGTGACTTGCGTTCTTGACTCAGTTGCTGGGCTAGATAGGGGAGCGGGACCAATCAGGACCCTAGGTCGTTCTACGCGTTTGTGCGTCTTTGGTCCGATCGATAATTCGCTACCCTCAAATCTGCCGTCATAGTTATAGCAAGTGATTATTTTCTTTACTGTATAAATAGAAAACAACAACAAAAATCAAATATATTTGCTGAATTTAAACTTTTTTCTTTAAAATTATAAATAAATTACTTTTTGAATGCGTAAAGTTGAACGTGTTGGACCATCATGTATTATACTATATTGATTTGGATTGAGTTTACCAGTAGCAATTAATTGACTGACTGTTATATCATTTCTATACCATTCATGTGTAGGATTTGGAATACCAGATGCTTCACATGTTAAAAACACATCAGAATTTATATCAACAACAGTATTTTGTAAAGGTGTCGTAAAATATGGTTTAGCTGTGATTTTCAGATTTAAAGTTTTAGGTCTAGCCATCTTTCCAAGTGAATCTTCAACCTAATTTACAACAAAAAAAAATGAAGCATTAAATATTTATAAAATTATTATTAAAAGTTAGTTCTAAAACGAAAGTAATTTACTTGAATCACACCAATTCTTTGTAACTATTTAAATACATTTGAATATCCTAAAATATCAAATGACAAAGAATTATCTGCGTCACTAATTCTTATACTTGAAAGAACGAGGAAACACTGCAATTCCTATAACGTGAAGTAAGAACATCAGGACTGGTACAAGTAAAGACTTATTAAAAACCAAAACAGGACAACTTTAGTCGAAAATAGACTCAATATATATTGATTGGATACTCATTTTCATTATTGATTAGAATAGGATCTCATATATAAAAGTACTCAAAATTGTAACAAATCGACATGCTGTTTATCATGTTCAGCGTAGTTTGCGTTAATTTTATACAAAAATATCGTATCTCGAAATAGCATCACACTCAAATAAATCACTATTATACCAAATAAGATATCACATTAGAAAACTGAAACAAATAAAACTCTTAAAAAATTATCATATATACTATAATTTAGAATAATACATATAGATGGTTTATAACCTATGAAAAAATTCACTGGTATTGTTAAGACTAATCGAAGCTTCAGGATAAACAAACACGTGACGAGAGAAATTCTCAGAATGACAACATAGAATTTGTGAAACCTAATAATTGCAGTGTCTAAGATATTAGTCGTGTCAATGTACATTTCAAAGAAAGAAATGCCTCCTCCAACATTTCTATAGGATTTATATACAAAAACATGGTAAACTACACAACAGTCAATAGCTGGGTCGTAAACGCTAACTCACAACCGAAATAGGAAAACCAGTTACGTTTACTGTTACAAATAAATTAATATGGGGTGAGTCTAGAAGAGATTGACGAAACTTTTAAAAATAATGAGAAGATAAAGTTATAGTAAAAAATACTCTGGATATAGCAAGTTTATGTAAATACTTGGAAATACCACACGGCTATACAGCAACGAAATATCACTTTCTATATATACAAAAGTGATTGAAAATTATTTAACTACTTTATATTAGTGAGTAATATAATGTAGTTTACAAAACGAACTCAATAAGTAGGAAATATACATGAAAACGGAAAGCAGAATTAACAGGGACTAAAATGCGATTAATTCTCTTTGATCAATTATAAGAAAGTCTAAAAACTTACATTACATTCATATTCGCCTTGGTCTTCAGGTTGTACATTTGGTAGTTCAATTACACGATCATAATCTTTTAAACTATCGGTTCGAAGAGGCGCACCATCCAACTGGATATAAATAATGGAAGCAGAACAAAAAAGAAAGTAAAGAATCACTATAATAGGTTAGAGAAAGCAATCTGTAAATTAATTTATAAAAGCAGAACCTATCGAAACCGAAACATCAACGACAGAATGTTGTCCACTCTTTTGTGAAAAGAATTTAAGAACTATTTAAGTACAATTAAATAAAATAATTTTGTTTTAAATTATTGAAAAACTTTCCATCATATAAATCATGATGACATTGTTTTTCATTACTCATAAGTCATCTTGGTCAGCTTAATCGTCTTTATATACGCCTATAAATATTCTTTGTATATTGGGTGAGTAAAGCTTGACAATCTAATTTCAAACAGTATTATTCACTAATGTATTAACTGTTCTGATTTTAGCATGTTTAAAGGTATGGTGGTAGTTTGTGCCTTGTAAAAAAAAATAGTAAATTCAAATTTTCCTCAAAAATGAAAAACTTTGAAAGAAAACATTTGGAGTGATCGATGGAAAAATAAATTACTAACACAAATTGAAATTAAGAATTACGGTAGACGCAGAATGAAAGAAGTATAAGTTATTAAGAAAAAATTGGTTGCTAGAACACTATGGGATAAGCGGAATGAAAAGAAAAAAAAACGTTTTGCGTACAAGTATAAATAAATAATAAATCTTTCACCAGATCATAATTATAAACTCTAAAGATATATATCACACTAAACAAATAATTTGAATATTCACTAATAGAATATTTAAAATATGTCAAAAGAATAAATCTGTATTGCGCAAATATATCACATAATTCTGATAAACTACGTCTTCTCATTGGATTATCGAAATTTATCAAAGGGACTAATTGTTTTAAATCTATTTAAGTCAAAAAAAGGAATGAATTTACTGACATATAAGAAGAAATAAATTGCAAAATATATAATTTAAAACAGATTTCGTTTGGAAAATTTTAACAGTTATTAAGGCTTAAAAGCAAATAAATAAAGTACCAAAGTTCCGGTGAAATGCTATAAATTCACAGTTTGATAATAAAAAAAAAGCTAAAATTTTATTGTCTACCTCAATCGGGCTATTTTCTAGATAGACGATGCCTGTGGTGTTTGTATGAATTAATGATCCCTTTGTAATTGTTGACTGTTTGATTTCGAATTCTAAATACAATACTTTTGTTCATGTTCTTCTAATACTTCTTGGTTAAATTGCTTTATTACTGGGATCCTTAGTTTGTACAATAATTCAAATACTCATAATTATCACAATATCTTAAAATAGTTGTATTTTATGGTTTGTATTTATTATCGTTTACCGTGAAAGTGGTTTCTACAACAAAGAATCACTTATGTAGCCATGTCAGTTTGATAAGTTTTCTCGTAACACCAAGGACAGGAATATAAACTAAGGCTACTATAGGATTTAGAAGGGATATAATACAATTGGTAAATACCGGCAAATGGGGGTCACCAGAATATACTACATATCCCAAGGTGTAATAACCAGTTGAGAAGATTATAGTTTATAGGTTGATGGCAAACTACTAAGAAGAAAAGATAGAGACAAAACTCAATATTTTGGGTATTCTCGGAGCATCACTGATAGAAACTTACTCTACGCCATGAGTATTTAAGACCGTCTAGTTGACTGTAACCAGCAGCAAAGCACTCCAGGCGAACAAGTTGACCACGTTGAGGATTTGTTGGCCAAACAGCCGGAAAATCATCATATATCCTTGGATCTTGTCTCGGCTCATTACTATAGCGCACAGTGAAAGGCATATCTGGAAGTTTCGGTGAATCATACATACGATGGCCGTCAAACTGCATTGTTATCATACAAACGTAGACCCCACTGTCCTGTTAATAGATAGACACGTATATATTAGTAGAATTTATCATCTTCCTACTTCCAGTGTATAAATATAACACAGTGAATCTAATATTAAGTCAGATAAAAACCACTTCGGATGAACGCATCAAGATTAAGAGCAAAATATACTACGCTTTTATGTATTGTCTGTGTATAAAAATGGCTCGTTAGATATCAATACCTTGAATAACTTAAATTTCAGAAGGTTTTTTGACTATCTCGGGTCTCATAAACTTGATATTAAACCATATTTACTTTCTACAAATAAACTGTTTGCTCAGATAGCATGAGTCAAATAAAAACCCGGTGGAATAAATAAATTTAATCACATTCTGTAGGTGTTATTTGAGTTTGATTGTTCAGATTTTTCAAGACTTCATTTGTTTAAGACTAAATTAAGGTACATACAATACGATCGAAAACGTGATTTGTGTAACATAATTTGCATTAAGTATCATTATTTAAAGCAGTTGTATTATTATTATTATTATTATTATTATTATTATTATTATTATTATTTCAACACATAGATAATGGTACAAAGAGGCACCAAATACATATGCGCCACACAAATCTCATTCGATATGTGTGAGGGCTGTGATACTGCCCGGGTGCCCAAACCGAAGCAGTTGGTAACTGGCCAACAGTCGGTCAATCAGTTACAATGTAGGATCAGGCACATATATGCATTGGTCCAAGTCCCCATGCCTCATTAGTACAAGATGAACACCAAATTTATAGAAGTAGTTACTTCAATGGTAGTAATATATAAAAGAAGGATTGTGTATAGGGATATAATACAGGAAGAAAGAATTAGTTTATAGAAACAAAGGTATAAAGTAATTTTGATCTCACGGTTTAAAGGCAGACAAAGAGTGTATTCACCTAGGCCATTGTAGTCGATTCTGAGCCATGTCACTCAGTCTCTGACCATTGGTTACGACAGTCGCACGGACCCCAACCAAGTAGTTTGCATCTACCAACATGGCTCAGACCAGAAGTTAGTAACTCCAAGGATTGATGCCACGTTTTGGTTTCGCCGACCCTAGTTGCCCAACAAAACTGATTTAACGAGATAACAAGTCATTTAGCACTAAGATTCTAGAATATTCCAAAAGAATTAAAATATTAGATCACTGCAGTCTACAAAAATGTTCCTTGCTTTAGAAATAATATCGGGGTTATCAATCAACAATTAGCGCTAATAGGTTTCTTTTACTTTCATTTGACTTCAGCTATTTCATCCTTCAGAAATGCCCCCAAATACATTAAAATATGACCAACTAGTTATTTATACAAAACAAACATTTTCATAGATTCTGAAACACCTAAAATGCTACCACACAAGCACTTTATCCTTGGATACTGAAAATATGAACTTAACATTATCGAAAGAAATTGTTTCAAATAATGCAGTTAAAACCATAATATTACATCACTCAGCAGTTATGTCCTCTGCCCTATTTATTTATTTAGATCATTCACGTATTAAAAAAGTCAACGTATTTGATAATTGTTTGACCGAAGTATAAAACTCTAAACAAAGTGACAGAGAAAATTAACTTGACATCAAGTTATAGTCCACGCAACAAACTTATCAGTTAATCATAACTTTGGAACGGTCTTAATCATTTTTAAGTACTCTCAATCCACACATATAACAAATTTATTACTTACCACCACTGTAACCTCAGAAAAGCCAATGAGGCCTTTTGCCTGAGAAATAAATAAATTTCTACGATATTCTGGTAAAACTGGTTCCAGTTCACCATTCTTGTTCATATACACGGTATAAAGTAAACCTTAGCAAAAAACAAGAATTAAATTCTAAGCGTTAATATTGTTTTTGAAGGCAATCACCCTAAGCTTCAACATAAATTTCTGCAGATGTTTAATAAATATCACATTGTATAGTTTTATTCCATTATATTGAAAAATGAATTCAAAGAAACTAGGACGCGAAAAAGCGTGGAGTAATCGTTTCTTAGGTTAATGGAACCAGCATGTTAGTTAATTCTTTTTTAAGATCTTCGTTATTTTTGTTGGTCAAAGCATTAATCCAAAAAGATATTAGCTCAAATAAATTAATATCAAGGATTAACAACTAATATATGGCTGAGAATGTCACTTGTTTGAGAAAACTTATGAAATGTGCCTCACTTTTATGACGGAAAGTTGTGAAAGAAACCTTAAATATTAGCGTCAGTAAAAATATCATTCCAATTTATTTTGTATATTTTACTGTTTTGAGTAGTTTCAAGATACGTCCTGGGATTTATATCGACCTTTACTCATTTACTTTGATTTTTCATACAGATCACTGCTTCCCATTAAACATATAAAAATCCTCTTAGATAAAAATCTGTTAATGTAAATCATGTGATAATTTTATTTGACAGTTTAATTACACAAGCCTAGAAGTTTGTAAAAGATTAAAAACGAACCACAGTTTAGGATTTTATTTTGTGTCAAAGCCGTGGAAAAGTTAATAATGGTTTGACCAATAAAGCAGCGATAAACTGAAATAATTTTAGACTTAATCAAGGAGATGCTGAACTGACAAAGAAGTATTCAACAGTATAATAATATGATATTTAGTAACCGTAAATCCCTCAAGATAGCATACAATATATTAACTTACGACTATATATCCCTTATATATAGAGTAAAAAATTAATTTGCATTATTTTTTTGTCGCCTAAAAGTAAGGCCGGGTCTACAAAGTTATGATTTTATAGTTGTTGCTGTCAAGTATTTAAACTCAACTGATAGGAACATATTTTACTGTGCAACTAAATCACGTGGTTAAAAAAATTTCAATATTTGGTAATATAATCATGACTATTAGTAACGAAAATACGTGAGTAGGTGAAGGATTTATCAATACTCGATCCTCTCCATTACAGTATAAAAAGTAAAAATATAAGTGACGATTAAATTATCACTAAGCTGTGTTTAATACATACTGCCGAACCTATATCATGTTATGTTAATTAACTCACTGTCTGGAGGCGAATGGGCAGGAGGTTCACATGGCAAAGTCTCACTTTGATGTGACATTACTATCCTCTCATTTCGCGGCTGTTTAGGTGCTGTTTCAAGCTGTCCAAATATAATCCTTGCAGTTCGGCTGAGAATAGATCCATATATATTCTTAGCTTCGCACTGAAACATTTGTGAGTCGGTTGAAGTGTCGGGATTGTGAATAACTAACGATCCAGCACTAACAGAAATGCGACCAGAAGGTTCAGATGCTGCGTCAATAAGTGTTCGATGCAAAATTGTGACGGTATCACCGGTACTGTTCGTCCTCATTTCAGTGCTAACATAATACCATTTATAGGTCGGTTGGGGGTTACCATTTGCTTCACAACGCAACTCCGCATACTTTTCAGTACTCATATGATGAACGTATCTAAAACAAATTCCTCTAAAGCATTTGAATCTTACAATACATCTTTAGGGTGAACAATGAAACAAGGACCTCGAGCCATTCTGTTCGGAAAATCGCTTCCGTATGCAAGAGATTTCGAGATAGGCAGAAGTTGGTTGGCATTTGCAACGGGAGCGCGGCAAATATGTCCCCTATGTGCATTCGGCGTATCCAGATACCATCCCCAGCGATTTCTGTCGGTACCATAAACAAGACGTGTACGATCTCTTGGGAATGTTGGACGTTCGGCAGGTTTTGGTATAGTGTCAAGCCACAGATGTAGTAATTCCGACCTAACACTCTGGTAGTTCAGTGGATGACCCTCCCACATAAATTCGCCAAAGGAGTCAGGGCGCATCACGCCAGCTGTGTACCAGCGTAAACTACGTTTTAAAAAAGATCAGCAATAAAATACGACCTACGATCGATTAACGGCAATATCGTTTAACCTGTCAGCTACAAACTGATGTTCTTTTAATGTGTCGATACGGAGCAATAAGCCACCATGTTCCTAAAAAAGATAGGGTGAGCATGCCTACAAATTTACCTCGCAATTTTTTCTTGCTGCCAGATAATTTAATGGATCTTGTACAAAAAACGAGTAACAGTTAGCTTCAAAATTAAACCATCCATCGGGGCAATCTGCCATTTAACTAGTTTTGAAAACTAATTGCTTACTTGTATCCCAAATATCATCTTGCGGACAACCAAACCAAGGATTTATCGCAGCTACTTCACTTTTGAAAACGTTGAAAATAAAGATTAAGAGCCAGTAAAGCATCTAGCGTCAACTATTTTCGTAACATTTCTATGAAACCGACTTCATATCCGCAATCAACATTTTGTAAAAAGAACTGAAGTATAATTTACATTTGTAGTAAGTTTAAACAATATAAATCGACGATTCAACTTTAAAGATTTCCAACCTCATGTTAATTAAACCAAGTGATTGTCATAATAATACTTGATAAAATATAAAGTTGCTACCCTAATTGAGTTATTTAAGTATACACTATCAGTTTTCAGACTGAAGATTTAAGAACTCAATTAAATTATCATTTTAGTCTTCAGTCGTCAGTCTTCAGTAATAAGGATAGTAGGTTGATGAATCTGTGTTAATCCTGACACATTGCTTTCCAGTGAAGGTTCAGCTTTTCCTTAAAAGTATTCACTGATGGGGCTGATACTACTTGTTCGGGTAAGGCATTCCAATGATTGACTACTCGATGAGAAAAACGGGATCCCACTTTAAGTTTATTAGATCGTGGTTTATGAACCTTCTTGCTATGACTTCGGAGATTACTAGTGCTGGAGGGAGCAAAAAGATAAGACATATTAACACCCAAATCATAATTAAAGATACGAAATGCCAGTATAAGGTCACCTCGTGTCCCCTTGTCGTAACAAGGGGAAAAGATTTAGGTGTTTTAAACGCTCATCGTAAGGGAGTCTAGAAAGACCCTTCACTAATTTCGTTCCCACACGCTGGACACGCTCAAGGGAGTAAGTATTCTTTACCAGACGCGGGCTGGTTGCTTGGATACAGTACTCTAAATGTGGTCTAATATATAAGGGATATAAAATTCGAAACATTTCTTCGTCAAAAGATTTGAACGCTCAGCGAAGTGACCATAACGCCCGAAAACCTTTGACAGCGGCTGCTGTGCAATGCGTAGTTGTTTTTAAATCATGACTTGATATTACTCCTAAGTCTTTATGCTCTTGAACGCATGGAAGAGGTATACCATCAATAGTGTAACGGTAACAATTACCGTGTTTGATGTGCATTAGTACACTCTTCCTATCATTGATTTTGATAATGGCCGTGCAATATTCAATCCCGCTTATATTAATTATCCAAACCCTGAGTTATGAACAATAATTAGTCTGTGGAAAACACATTTCATGCCTAGTAGAGTAACTTAGATTCAGATTTAAACTTGCTTGACGTACCTTCTGTAGTTATCTTATATGACTGTCCAGTCGTTTCGTTTCAAAATCCATAAATCGATAGTCCGTTTGACTTAAGTCGATTAGAAATGAACCATTTTCTAGGATTAATAAGACACTACTACTCTAAAATTTCTGAAATCAGAAAGAATGTTACTGACCTTTCCCCAGTGTCATAGTTCTCGATATTTTCGTACCGGCTGTGCATGATGATGAAAGTACCCTAAATGTTGGCCATTAACCTGATTGTTAGAAACGTATGTCACTGTTCAAAGTCTTTATTACTCATTATTTGTGTTAATTGAATTAGTTTCTGCACTGTGAACTTTCTTTGGACGACAGAACCTCGATTTTCTCTTTGATAAGTAGCGGGTTTTATGTTTACTAACAGTTTATCCACTTGATACTCTGTAGTTTGGCCAATGAACCTATCAGGTGTAGAATGTTGTTCTTCGTTGTGCAGGAAACCATTTGTTTTTAATCACTAGATTGTATTGATTCTGAAAGAAAAGTTGGAAATTATTATTTTCTTTCCCGAAACCATTCAGGCGCACATGTGATTTATCAAGTATATACTTAAGTTAATATTTATGTAGTATCACTCCTGTAAGCAAACTGGCATTTTTAGATTTACTAATGTCTAGTTGGTACTTCATGGGTTGTGTATCAAAGTTATACAGAACATTTTGGCAATCTAAGAGTAATGGACGTGACATGTCCTAAGACGCATACACCTCCATCGCAAACCTACAATACAGTAAAAGTATCAAAAGTACGTTCTGGTCTCATTAGCAACCTAGCGGAAGTTTTCAGGATGCTATGATAAAAACAATTCAATTTTTACAGCACTTATCAGCATATAAACGCAAGGTTAGTTCAGAATGTCCTACTAGTGAAAACCTCCCAAACTTCTATTGCTTTGATAATTACAAGAGGTAAATAATAGATACTTTTTCAATTTCTAGTTTCCATGTCACCAAGTTACTCATCGGCACCTGTAAAATACATTTTCATGCCAGATTTTCTTTAATAGTTATGCCGGCATCTTAAGATAAATAATTTAAGGCTGTCCCTTAGTTCTTATACTTTTAAATGCAGATCGAAAACCCGATGTTCAGTAAACATTGTGTATCGAAGAACAATGCATATTTGGTTTTCGTTTACAAACTGGAACATTCCACTGACACAGACGTAGGCATTTCACTTGTCAGCTGAAGTTGTATAAGTCTGTTCTCAGTTACATCCAGAACACTCTAGGGCAAGAAAGTTCTCTCGTGAAAAAAATAAACCTAAAACTTGAAACGAAACTTGATAAAGGTGAGGATGATACAGGTATTCAGTGTTTGACAACGCTTCTACCAGTAACACCTTCTAATATAATTTGTTCCCACCAAGAGAAATCAAAAGACAGAGTCGAGGAGATCGGAAGAGTGTATTTGGCGATAACCAATATATTGGAATTCTCTTATCTTATCTGACTAGCGATTGCGGTAGATGTTGAGCACAGCGTTACAACACGTGATCTGGTGCGGATGCATGACCGAGCGCCTTCAGCTAGATGAGTCCACTAAAACATATGGTCAGCATCCAATGTCGAAAACCTACAGAGCTATTTAGTTTGGGGATTTATTTACCGCTACAGATCACTCCCCCCCCTAGTGAAGCAGTGATGACCCTAAGACGTGGCCAGCCAGATGTTTAAACCCAACGAGTTTGTCGTTGGTAAACACTCTTCTGATAGCTTACTAAGTTTAGCAGCGTCTGGTCGTCTTTCCTTACTATATGGGACCGAGGTACAACATAGTAAAAAAAGAAAAGGTACAACGAAAATTACGGCTCCTCGTAAACTGCATCGTTCTTTCCTAGCCGTCCTGGAAAAGAAAAAAGAAAATGTAAGTGCATGTCGAAATACACTCGTATGTACGTAAAAACGCAATGTCGGCGAAAAAAATGGAAAATAAACTCAAGCCTACGTAATAGCGTTAAAAAATAAAAAAATTTTGTTTGTTTTCGATTTTTAAAAAAATATAAATCTATGAACATATCAAAATTGTTTTTTTTAATTATTATATATCGTTAAAAGAAAGATTGAGATAATATAAAATGTCGAGTAGTGCTTTACGTGCAATAGTCGTTTAAATGTTCTTGAAATCTTACTCTTCTTCCAGAATGTGTCGTTTTAAGTTTATTTTCAGACATATTCAGGGTTTCATCGCTAGTGTTGGTTGTTAGTTGAGGAATTATGAGCGTAGGAGTCGTGTTGTGCAATTGTACATAAGGAAAATCGACGTGAATATGATTTCCTTCTAAATACGCTGCTTTCAAGCTATCGATGCTGATGCTATCGTTTGTTCCGTTCTTATAGACTATATGGTACTTAGGTTCGCGTTGAAGAACTTTGAAAGGTCCTTCGTATGCTGATTCGAAAGGTCGTCGATGCGAGTCTCGACGTACGAAGACGTGTGAACGATATTGTGAGTCAGGTTGAACGAAAACATCAGTTGGCTGAGGTCGAGTGGAATCAGGTTTAACTGAACGCATTGCGTTTGTAAGCCTGTTTGTGTAGGAGGTTAGATCCATGCTCATTGAAGAGGATGAAGGATCCACGAATTCTCCTGGAAGTGGAAGTGTCGTTCCATAAACGAGTCGAGCCTCAGTGTATCCAATGTCAGCTTTCACTGCATTGTGGATACCTAGTAAAACGAGTGGAAGAGCGTCGGTCCACTGTGAAACGTTTGCAGCTGATAGAGAAGCTTTTAGTTGTCGGTGAAAGCGTTCTACCAACTCGTTTGCTTGTGGGTGGTAGGCGGTCGTTCGGAAGCGAGTGATTTCTAAAAGTGTGGTCAGACGACGGAAAAGTCCAGATTCAAACTGACGTCCGCGATCTGTAGTGATGGTTGAAGGGCAGCCGAGGTTTGCCACCCATCGTTCGACAAAGATGCGGGCCACTGTTTCAGCAGTGATGTCCTTGATAGGTACTGCCTCTGGCCATCGAGTGAAACGGTCTACACAGGTTAAGAGATAAGTGTTCATTTGAATCTGGTAAAGGTCCTACCAAATCCAGATGAACATGGTCGAAACGAGCATCGGGAGTTTTGAATGGACCTAAGGGACATTTATTGTGTCCGATGACCTTAGATTTTTGGCAGCTTACACAGGAGCGTGCCGACTCCCTCACCTCTTTATTCATGCCAGGCCAGCAAAACCGTTCTGCTATAAGCTTGATGGTTGCCCGAACGCCTGGATGAGAAAGTTTGTGCAATGTGTTGAAGACATTGCGTCGATAATGTTTCGGGACGATTGGGCGATCTCTACCTGTAGATGTGTCACAAAGTAAGGTTTCCTTACCTGTTCCCATCTGTTTGATGCGTAGTTTAAGGGTTGTGAACGATAACTCTTGCTGAAGATCAGTGTCTTCTTTTTGAAGTTGGGCGAGTTTAAGAAGGTCGATTCCTTGGAAACTGTTCAAGGAATTTATTCGAGACAAGGCGTCTGCAACTACATTGTTTGCTCCAGAAATGTGTTGAATATCTGAAGTAAACTGCGAAATGTAGTCCAGTTGTCGAGACTCACGGGGAGAGTACTTGTCAGAAGGATAGCTTAGCGAGAAAGTGAGCGGTTTATGGTCAGTGAATAGAGTGAATTCACGGCCTTCGATATAGTGTTGAAATTGCCGTACAGCACAATACATAGCTAGGAGTTCCCTACCGAATATGCTGTATCTCGATTCGGTGTCTAGCAACCATCTAGAGAAAAATGCCAAAGATTGCCAGCAGTTGTTAACCCAATGTTGTTAGACTCCTCTGATTGCTGAGTAGGATGCGTCTACTGCGATATTAATGCGTGCTTCGGTGTCCTGATGTGCGAGCATTGTTTCTTTAGCGATCAGTTCCTTAACTGTGGAGAATGCTTTACGTGCG